ATCCATTCATGGTGAGTTTAAAAACATGGACAGTTACATAATTTGCTTTACAAACCAACAGCAGAGACACTGTTTAGATTTTAAAATGTAAAGAAAACTGATGCAGTTAATTGCTGCAATGTACTATATATTTTTAAATGTATTATTATAACACATTAATCACATATTGACTAAGATTTTGCAGCACATTCAAAATGTTCACTTCAAGACAAAAGAAGGAGAGGAGGTTTACTTTAATGAAAATGGGGATCCAGCAGCAAAATATGAGATTATAAACTGGCAGCCTAAAGAAAACAGCATTGTGGACTTTGTTACGGTTGGTCTTTATGATGCAACATTACCTGCAGGCAAACAGTTAAACCTGGAAAAAATGTCTTTCATTTGGGCAATGAATTCAGAACAGGTTAGAACATGTGTACTAAAGGTTTTATTTGCAGCATTAGATTTGTTTTAAATCCATCACTGACACATCCATTTATAGATATGTAATCCGTTTTTATGCAGGTGCCTGTTTCACTTTGCAGTGAGAAGTGTCCTCCAGGAACACATAAAGTTTCACAGAAAGGAAAACCTGTTTGCTGCTATAATTGTGTGAAATGTGCAGAGGGAGAAATCAGCAACACTACAGGTTATGTATTATTTAATGATTAAGTTTTATTCAATGTTAAAACAAATATTATTGTATTAGGTTTATTATGGCCACATCTTAGTTTTCATAACATACTTTATTCATCATGGTTTACTCAATACTTATTCAGGTTTCATTATAATTTTAGCTATAATTGACATAAAAATGTTAGATTGTTTGAACGTTATTATTGTCATCTGAATATCTCATTTGTCAATCAGCATGGTTCTGTCTAAATTAGCAATAATTAGTTATTATGAATGAAACAAAATAATTTTTATGTAGTTAGGAAACATGTTTGACCCATGTCTGTAAAGGTTTTATTTATGTATTTATGTATTTTTTTATTTTTTTTATGTCTATAGAGTTTTAGATTTCGTAAACAATCAAATTCTGTACTTTTAATTAGGATCATAGCTGCCCCTCTTCAGGTTAATAAAATATAAGATGAAAATACCAAATGTAAAGTTGCCTTTTTTATAACTTTTTATTGCAGAAAGAAACATGTCATATCTTTGTAAAAGCTTTAGTAAAACATATTTATATTCAAGATCAAAGACACTAATACTAGTGGAAATGTGTAGAAGATGTTTAATCCAAACATCTCATGTGTGTTTCAACTATGATTTTGCAGACTCAATCACCTGTGTGAGATGTCTCCTTAAATTCTGGTCAAATGAGAGAAGAGATGCCTGTGTAACTAAAGCAGTTGAGTTTCTGTCATACAAAGAAGATATGGGAATACTTCTCACCACAGCCTCTTTATTTGGAACATGTCTGACTGCTGCTGTCGCTGTCATTTTCTTCAGACACAGAAAAACTCCTCTTGTCAGAGCAAACAACTCTGAGTTGAGCTTCCTGCTGCTTTTCTCCTTGACTCTGTGTTTTCTCTGCTCCCTGACCTTCATTGGACGTCCCTCTGAGTGGTCCTGTATGCTCCGTCACACAGCTTTTGGCATCACCTTCGTCCTCTGTATCTCCTGCGTTTTGGGGAAAACAATGGTGGTTTTGATGGCGTTTAAAGCTACACTTCCAGGCACTAATGTGATGAAACTGTTTGGGCCGACACAACAGAGAATCAGTGTTCTGGGTTTCACACTTGTACAAGTGATCATCTGTATTCTTTGGTTAAAAATTTCTCCTCCTTATCCATCCAAGAACTTTAAGACTTTTAAGGAAATCATCATCTTGGAGTGTGCTCTGGGCTCAGCTGTAGGTTTCTGGTCCGTACTTGGATATATTGGACTTCTTGCTGTGTTGTGTTTTGTTTTAGCTTTTCTGGCTCGAAAACTGCCAGATAATTTCAACGAAGCAAAATTCATCACCTTCAGCATGCTGATATTCTGTGCAGTCTGGATCACTTTTATCCCGGCGTATGTCAGCTCTCCTGGGAAATTCAGTGTTGCTGTAGAAATATTTGCCATTCTTGCTTCTAGTTTTGGACTGCTGATTTGTATATTCATTCCAAAATGTTACATCATGTTAATGAAGCCAGAAACAAATACAAAAAAGAACATGATGGGAAATGGAGTTACTGTAAAACAAAAATGAATTGCCATCATATATCTGGGAATTTGATTCAGTCACCACTTTTGTTCAAATCTGGTTGGCCTTTTTGTTAGAATAAAAATATATGTATCTGCTTTACCTCCCATAAGCAGTGTAAAGCAAGAACTGTGTGGCATTTATTTATTTAATTAATTCATTGCATGTGCCATATCTGGAATTCACATGAAGTGGACAGCTACTGTCACTGTACATTCTTCTTTGCTGCCCACTGATTGATTTGACAAAAAATGTGGGGCTGTCTTTGTTGACACACCTTTGCAACTTTGCGTGTGCATCTGGGGTAGTGCACTGGTTTGGCAGACTGGGGTGGTGATTCCCCTCTTCAAAAACGGGAACCAGAGGGTGTGCTCCAATTACAGGAACATCACTCTCCTTAGCCTCCGTGTTATGGTCTAATCAGGGCTACTTGAGAACTGAGTCCGATCGTTGGTCAAACCTCAGATCCAGGAAGAACAATGCGGGTCCCTTCCCGGCCGTGGAACACTGGACCAGCTCGTTACTCTCACTAGGGTCCTCAAGTAGTCATGGGAGTTTGCCCATCAGTCTACATGTATTTTGTGGACTTGGGAAAGACATATGACCGTGTTCCTCTGGGTACACTGTTGGGGGTGCTCCATGAGTATGGGATTGGGGGCCTCTTGTTATGGGCTGTTCAGTTCCTATACAAGCGGTGCAAGTTTGGTTCACATTATCGGTAGTTCACATTGACGGTTCACAGACAAAAAAACTCACCATCCATCTATTCATTATCTTGACCCACCTCTTCCATTTTGGGTCAAAGGGGTCATTGGTGCCCATCACTGTGCAAGAGGCAGGGTACACCCTGGACAGATCATAAGTCCACCACAGGGTCAAAATGTCTCCAAGCACTGTAAATAAAAATGCTTACCTTTTTTGTATGCATTGTGGACACCTACACAAACCCCCCCACCCCCCCACCCCCCCCACACACACACTCCTGAACATATGAGGATCTACAGTGGTAGTGGTCTCCAGCTACAAGTACTTGGGCGTGCACCTGAATGACAACCTCAGCTGGAGCAACAACACCACCAGCCTGATCAAGAAAGCTCATCAGAGACTCTGCTTCCTCAGACGGCTGAGACGAGCTGGTCTGGGAAGCTCAGTCCTCACCTCCTTCTACAGGTGTGCAGTGGAGAGCATCCTGTGCTCCAGCGTCAACGTGTGGCATGGAGGCTGCACATCTGCAGAAAGAAAAGCTTTGCAGAGAGTGGTGAAGGCTGCACAGAAGTCTGTTGGAGTCAGTCTCTCCACCATCACAGACATCTACACCTTCGGATGCAGGAAGAGGGCGATCTGCATCATGAAGGACTCCACTCAACCAGCACACACTTTTTGCACCGCTCCCCTCAGGAAAGAGGTTAAGGAGCATTAAGTGTAGAACCACTAGACTGAGGAACAGCTTCTACCCTGAGGCTGTTAGACTCATGAATCTCTAACCAGGATAATCACTGTGAAAAATCACATCATGTTGCTGCTGATCTGTTTCATGTCGCTGCTGATCTGTTTCATGTTGATGTGTTAATTTGTGCTCATCTGCTCATACAGACTCATGTTCGTACTGCTGTTCAGCGTATTGTTTTTATGCTATTAGTACTTAGTGTATTTTAGTTAACATTTTTCTTAGTTCATATCTTAGATCTTATTACTGTTTTTCTTTTACATTTTATTGTTGGATGTAACTGGGACCCTGTTTACACAATTTCATTCCACAACAAGTACCACATGTGGTACGAATGACAAATAAAGAAACGTTGACTCTGACTCTGTGAGTCCTCCCCCAGAAAATTTTGAATAAAGCAGATGCCATTTCCTGCAATTTGGTGTATTTTAACAGGTTGTTGAACATCATTTGCATACATAAGTAAACACGCATACATAAGTAAACACTTGATTCAGTAACTATTTTAGAGAGCAACAACAACAGCTCTCTCCTTCTGTTTGAATGTGTTTTTGACTGTGTGTGTGTGTGTGTGTGGGGGGGGGGGGTTCATTGACAGAAGCTGAGCTGCTCTGCTGTAGTAAAGACATAGGTTATTGAAAATGGTCATACGGAACAGGATTTTGACAATGCATTAACAAGTACTAATTCAGCCTTCAACAAATGGTTTGGGGAAATATGTTATTTACTTTTTACCCAACATTTATATAAAACATTCATTCACAAAAATTCAAGCAAATAAGAAATAGAAAAAAAAAATAATAAAAAGAAATGAACTTACCAAAAAATAGCTTTTCTATTGGTATCAAGGTTCAAGATTCTTTATTGTCACTCACATCACATGTAGTACATGAGGTGGATCAAAATTGTGTACTCAAGGTCCCAGTTACACCCCAAAAATAGCAAAATATAAAATATTAAAAGAAACGGTATACACAGATCTAAGACATACACTAAACACTAATGATGTAAAATAATATGATATATTACACAGCAGCCTAAACATATATCACATGTACTGAACATGAGCAAAAGCAGATATTATTCTCAAATTCATCTTACAAAAATAAAACAGAGAACGTGTGTGTAGCTTTTTAATATGCTCTTTATCTAGCCACACCCTGCACTACCAATAGGCCAACGCTAATTTTAATAATGTACAAGCTGATTCTAAATTCATAAATACCACTTTAAGTTTTTAATTTGCATTAATGTTCATAAGGTGCAACCAGCTGATTTTACTTATTCAAATGAAACAATGCAGACATGAGGCACCCACATATGGTTTGTACACTTTTACAGCTGTTATTGGTGGGATCTTCCTCACAGTCTGAGGAGTCAATGTGCAAACAGAGAGGAGACCCTGAGATCCCTCAGCTCTCTAAGGATGGAGACATCATGTTAGGAGGAATCTTCTACTTTCACAGCAGCTGGAAGAACAGAGAGAACACTTACACACAAAAACCTCTGCCACTGGAATGCATTGGGTAAAGTATACTATCAACATGTATTGCAAAGCTTGCCCTATATGAGTAAAATTGTTTCAATTTCAATCAAATGCTTTAATTAAGAAAATGTTTATTTAAACATATATATTTTAAATAATTGTATTTGTCCAAATCAAGTTTAAATTTCAGAGAGTTCCAGTTTGTTCAAGCCATGCGTTTTGCCATTGAGGAAATCAATAACAGATCAGACCTACTTCCAGGAATTTCTCTTGGATATAATATTTATGACACTTGTAGTTCCAATGCCAGAAGCATTCAAGTTGCACTTGCATTGAACAATGGTAATGAAAATATGCGTCCAGGTTCTGAGGAGTCATGTACCAGACGTGCACAAGTGCAGGCTTTAGTGGGAGAAGGATCGTCTTCTCCGTGTACAGCAATAGCTTCTGTTCTTGGACCATTTCACATCCCATTGGTGAGTAGAATGTGCTGAATCTAAACTGTGCTTAAAAAAAAAAAAAAAAAAAAAAAACTATAACCAATATTTTCTGAGTGGTAGAAAGAATTATTCTGTAAAGGATTTACACCATTATTTTCTGTGATTGCTTTACTATTTCTTACGGATTTACTTTTTTTTTAACTGGTAGGGAGAAATTATTGTTTGTTGATCTTTCATTATTTACAACTTTAGCGTTTTTTGTTTGTTTTAACAATTTTCAAATTTGTCACAGCCGTTTTTTTTCTTGTTTGTTTTGCTTTTTCCAGATCAGCCACTTTGCTACATGTGCCTGTCTCAGTGACAAATCAAAGTACCCATCATTTCTCAGAACCATACCCAGTGACTACTATCAGAGCAGAGCTCTGGCTCATTTGGTCAAACACTTTGGTTGGACCTGGGTTGGAGCTGTTAGTGCCAATGATGATTATGGCAACAACGGCATGGCAACATTTACAGAAACTGCAGAGCAGCTGGGCATCTGTCTGGAATATACTGTTTCTTTCTTTAGAACAGATTCATCAGAAAAACTCGAAAAGATAATGGACATTATCAAGACTTCAACTTCAAAGGTTATTATTGCTTTTCTCTCTCTTCGGGAAATGGAGATGTTTGTACATAAATTGTCCAACCACAACCTGACAGGGTTTCAGTGGGTCGGCAGTGAGTCGTGGATCTTTGATTCTCAAATTGCAGCAATGGATACAAGTCACATCCTGGACGGAGCTATAGGACTTTCCATCCCTAAAGCACATGTCAGTGGTCTGAAAGAGTTCATGTTTAATGTGAAGCCACTGAATTCAACAAACAATAACTTGTTTACTGAGTTCTATGAAGCATTATTCAGCTGTAGGTTCAGACAGTCACAATCAGAGGAGATTCAGAGAGAATGTACTGGACTTGAGGATCTGCCTGGAGTGGAAAACAGCTTCACTGACATGTCCCTCATGCCCATTTTCAACAATATTTACAAAGGGGTGTATGCTGTGGCCCATGCTGTGCACAAGATTTTCCAATGTAAAATAGCATGCAACAACAGTGTGCCTCTGGATCCATTAATGGTGAGTTTAAAAACATCAGCGATAAAACAATTAACAAAATTACCTAAAAGATGAGGAAATGCTTTGATTTTAAAATCCAGACAAATTAGATACAGTAAACTGCAGCAATACAGCATATGTTTTGCTTACATTTATTATTATTCACCCAATGTCTCAGATCTTGCAGTGCATTCGAAACATTCATTTCAAGACCAAAGAAGGAGAGGAGGTTTACTTTAATGAAAATGGAGATCCAGCAGCACAATATGAAATTATAAACTGGCAGCCTAAAGAAAACGGCATTTTAAACTTTGTTACGGTTGGTCTTTATGATGCATCGTTACCTGCAAACAAACAGTTAAACCTGTCAAATAACTCGTTCATTTGGGCAATGAACTCAAAGCAGGTTAAAGAAATTCACTGGAAAGCAAATATATATTTATCAATGATGCATACATAAATTCATATATGTATTGTTTTTTGTTCATTCAGGTGCCTGTTTCACTTTGCAGTAAGAAGTGTCCTCTAGGTACATACAAAGTTTCACAAAAAGGAAAACCTGTTTGCTGCTATGACTGCATGAAATGTGCAGAGGGAGAAATGAGCAACATTACAGGTTGTGAAATTTCTGTTGGCAGTTTTTCAAATTATCTTGTTAAAGTTGTTATGACCACATGCACGTGTTTTAACATTTCTCAAGTATCCTGGTGCATGCTCATTAATCCATGCAGATACATCTAATAAGGTTGAGTCAGGTCCTCTGGATGAATTCTTCTTTGTTGAAGGAAAACAACAAAGAAGAATTCATCAAGAGGAGCTGACTCAACATTGTTAGATTTCACAAGAATGTTTTGAGCAACATCATTCAAGTATTTCTATTTTGATTTTACCTGTAATTGGAATGCAAAAAACATTGTCTTTGTGATAACATTTTAACACATTTTACCAGCAACCAAGTGTTCTTTGTGTATCTTATTTATTTATCTATCACCATGGCAGTGACAAGACATTAATGATAATAATAAATCTGTTCAAAATGTTTTTTTTGTTTGTTTTTTTAATCTATGTCTCATAAATCAATTGTAATAAAAATAGTCTAGGTCAGTTTACTTATGAACAAAACCATTTTTAGTTTGTATAGAAACATGTTTGATCTGTGGCTATTAAGGATTTTATTTTAGTTAAAAGAATTTGACGGTTTAAATTCAGATCCCAGACATTTTCCTCTCAGTTCTGAACAATGTGTAAGAAGAATAAACAAATGTAAAGTTAAATTATTTCACATATAGTCACACTCACATAACTCATAAATTAAAATGTGTAAGACCTTTTTAAATTATTTTAGGAAATGTAAGTATAGCATAATGAGAACTGCAGTTAATAAAACTCATGTTGAATTGCTGAAGATTTTTTATCCCGAATGTCATATTTATCAATGCAATGTGGTTTGACGATTGACAACTGTTATATATATATATATATATATATATATATCTCCAATCTTAAATTGTTTTTCAGATTCTACCACTTGTGTGAGATGTTCCCCTGAATTCTGGTCAAACGAAAGAAAAGATGCCTGCGTACCAAAAGAGGATGAGTTTCTGTCATATGGAGAGATAATGGGAGTGCTCTTGACCACAGTGGCTTTATTTGGAACATGTCTGACTGCTACTGTCACTGTCATTTTTTACAAATACCGGCAAACTCCTCTTGTCAGAGCAAACAACTCTGAGTTGAGCTTTTTGCTGCTTTTCTCCTTGACTCTGTGTTTTCTCTGCTCCCTGACCTTCATTGGACGTCCCTCTGAGTGGTCCTGTATGCTCCGTCACACAGCTTTTGGCATCACCTTCGTCCTCTGTATCTCCTGTGTTTTGGGGAAAACAATGGTGGTTTTGATGGCGTTTAAAGCAACACTTCCAGGCACTAATGTGATGAAACTGTTTGGGCCAACACAACAGAGACTCAGTGTTCTGGGTTTAACTATTATACAAGTGATCATCTGTATCCTCTGGTTAACAATTTCTCCTCCTTTTCCTTCAAAGAATTTTAGGGAATTTAAAGATAAAATCATCTTGGAGTGTGCTCTGGGCTCAGCTGTAGGCTTCTGGTCTGTGCTTGCTTACATTGGACTTCTTGCCATGTTGTGTTTCATTTTAGCTTTTATGGCTCGGAAACTGCCGGATAATTTTAATGAAGCCAAATTCATCACTTTCAGCATGCTGATATTCTGTGCAGTCTGGATTACTTTTATCCCAGCGTATGTCAGTTCTCCTGGAAAATTCAGTGTTGCTGTAGAAATTTTTGCCATTCTTGCTTCTAGTTTTGGACTGCTTGTTTGTATCTTCATTCCGAAATGTTACATCATGTTGATGAAACCAGAATATAATACAAAAAAGGATTTGATGGGAAAGAGGTAATCGTGCAACAAAACTGAAATGCCATTATATAATTTGAAAAGTTATTTTTGTTATCACTTTTGTCAATTTTGGTTCATCTTCTTGTCACAATAAACAGATGTATGCACTTTAGCTGTTTTAAGCTGTGGAAAACATTTTATTTAGTTAGTTAGTTATCTAGGGCAGCACGGTGGCGCAACTGGTAGAGCTGCTGCCTCTCAGCGACCAGGTCCTTGGTTCAAACCCCGGTCCAGGGGCCTTTCTGGGTGGAGTTTGCATGTTCTCTCCGTGCATGCGTGGGTTTTCTCCGGGTACTCCGGTTTCCTCCCACAGTCCAAAAACATGCATGTTAGGCTGATTGGTAACTCTAAATTGTCCCTAGGTGTGAGTGAGAGAGTGAATGGTTGTTTGTCTCGTTTGTCTCTATGTGGCCCTGTGATGGACTCTGCGACCCGTCCAGGGTGTACCCCGCCCCTCGCACAGTGATTGCTGGACATGGGCACCAGCGACCCCCGTGACCCAAAATGGAATAAACGGGTAAAGAAAATGGATGGATGGAGTTAGTTATCTATGTCTGTCTGTCTGTAATATATTGTTTGTGCCATATCTGGAGTTCACATGAAGTGGAAAGCTACTGTGACTCTTTGTTTTTCTTTGTTGCTGTCATTGTTTTGGGTTAGCTCTAGTTGGGAAATAGTTTGTTCTTTTGTGTTATTTGAAATGTCTAAAAATGTACCACTGTTTTAAAATAGAAAGTATATAATTGTTCTTAAAATTTACATTTTATAATTCTTGGTCAATTTAGAGCTTTCATTTCCAACCCAAACCCGGAGCCCGGCCCCGCCCGACCTGGATTCGGACCGGGCCGGGACATAATAATGTGCTTAATGTGTGGGCCGGGTTGGTGTCAGGCTTTTTATTGCGGGAGGAACGTGTGCGGCCAATGCAATATATGCAAACATGGTTTGCCATACTGCACCTGCCGCACGTAGCCATTTGACCGCGCGCTGACCAACTGGCCGGTTGAAAGAGGGAAAAGGTTCAGTTAAGATGCAGATGGACGACTGCCAGAGATCCTTCAGCCCAAATATATGTTCATTCAGCCTCTGCTCTCAGCGGGCGAGCACAGCCGAGACCCAAACAGGTGAGATCACAAAATACCCTGCATGTCAGAGCAGGATGCAGGCAGAAGCAGGGGAAGCATTTAATGCGCTTAGACTGCTCTTCAGCTCAGATCTTCTGCCCCCTCAGCCGCGAGCATCTGCCAACTGTTAATAGTCTGTGATATAAGCCATCAAAGCTTAATTAAAAATGTCTTCTTTTTTTTCCGGGTTCGGACCTGTAATTACTGTTAATTTGTCGGATTGGGTGGAGTTCGGAGATGATGGCAATGGGCTGGGGCCAGGTCGGTTCATATTATTTGGACCTGAGTGCAACTCTAGGTCAATTTGTCAGTTTTTTGTTTTTTTTGTGTGTGTGTGTGTGTGCTGTGATGACGTTCTTGAGAATCTTTTTGAATAAATCTGCTGTAAATGTTGTTTCAAGACACACTTCTTCTCATTTTCTTTTTCAATCACTTCATTATCATGCCTTTCAAACTTTGGCCTATCACAGTGTGAAATAGAAAATCTTGAAAATCCATTTGCATCACGTATGTCTTACGTGATGATGTACGTTGTCAGGATTGTTCAACTTATGCTCTTACACACTGCTCTTACTCATGTGGAGCTGAAGGACTCCTACATCCATATGCTCTTTGTGGACTTCACATCTGCCTTCAACACCATGATCCCACAAACCCTGATGGACAAACTACTCTCACTAGGACTAAGCCTCTCCATTTGCAACTGAGTCCTAGTCTTTTTTTAGCCAACATACCGCAGCCTGTGAGGATCCACAACTTCTCCTCCACCATAACTCTCAGCATAGGCTCCCCTCAGGGCTGTGTGCTGAGCCCTCTCCTGTTCACACTGCTCATGACTGTGCACCTACCCAGCCAGGCTGCCTGAATGTAAAGTTTGCAGACGATACCGTGGTTGTTGGATGTATCACAAACAACAGTGAGTCCAGCTACAGGCAGGAGGTGGAAAACCTGAAGAGCTGGTGCAGGAAGAACATATTTCACAACAATTGCAGCTGCTGGCTATATAAAGATGCAGCAGGTGCTAAATAATTTAAAATATTTTTTTAAAATAAAAATTCCATGCCGATCGTGCAGCTCATCCATCAATCAGCCAATTGTGTCATGTCCAATCTTATTTTGAAAAACTGCAGTAGAGTGAGTCCAGGATAAACGAACCACAAAGTAGCAAAGGACTACTTTATTATATTCCAATAAATTACCATAATAATGATTAGGAAAAGGGGAAAAAGGAAAATATATTTATTTATTTATTATAAATTTCAGTCTAACAGATGTTACAGACACTAAAACAAGTTACCAACTCAAAATCTTCTGAATTTAGGAAATAAGAAGTGATTATTAATTCATAAAAAAAGAACACACATTATTTAAAAAAAAAGTTGAATTGGACAAAGGGCTTTATTTTTTATTTTTTTTAACTAAACTCTTAAGGTGAAGTAAACAGACCTGACTGCAAAAAAATATTGAGTGGAGTTGACAAATTAACATATCAAAGTATTATGATAATTAAAATAGTTTTGGCATCACTGAGCTTATTCTCTTTACAATGATTTTAATTGCCCCTTCCCCATCATATTCTTTTTTGTGTTTTTTTCTGGTTTCATCAGCATGATGTAACATTTTGGAACAAAGACAAAAATCAGCAGTCCAAAACTAGAAGCAAGAATGGCAAAGATTTCTACAGCAACACTGAATTTTCCTGGAGAGCTGACATATGCTGGAATAAAAGTAATCCAGACTGCACAGAATATCAGCATGCTGAAGGTGATAAATTTTGCTTCGTTGAAATTATCGGGTAGTTTTCGAGCCAGAAAAGCTAAAACAAAACACAACACGGCAAGAAATCCTATGTACCCAAGCACGGACCAGAAGGCTACATCTGAGCCCAGAGCACACTCCAAGATGATTTTATCTATGAATTGCTTAAAATTCTTGGATGGAAAAGGAGGGGAAGTTGCTAACCAGAGAATACATATGATAACTTGTATAAAAGTAAAACCCAGAACACAGAGTCTCTGTTGTGTTGGCCCAAACAGTTTCATCACATTTGCTCCTGGAAGTGTAGATTTAAACGCCATCAAAACCACCATTGTTTTCCCAAGAATACAGGAGATGCAGAGGACGAAAGTGATGCCAAAAGCTGTGTGACGGAGCATACAGGACCACTCAGAGGGACGTCCAATGAAGGTCAGGGAGCAGAGAAAACACAGAGTCAAGGAGAAAAGCAGCAGGAAGCTCAACTCAGAGTTATTTGCTCTGACAAGAGGAGTTTTCCTGTGTCTGAAGAAAATGACAGTTACAGCAGCAGTCAGACATGTTCCAAATAACGAGGCTGTGGTGAGGAGTTGTCCCATAACTTCTTCAAATGACAGATACTCAACCTTTTTTGTTACACAGGCATCTCTTCTCTCATTTGACCAGGATTCAGGAGAACATCTCACACAGTTGGTAGAATCTGCAAATAGCATTAGCATTTAGTCTGTTTTCCTTTTACAGTTTGTACAGCTTTTTCCATAATTACCAGATAACAGAGTCAACACCGATTCAAATTGCATTGCTCTGATTTAATAAACTGAAAGCTGAAAGAAACTTATTCAGCAGCATCACATGTGTTTTTTAGCTATACTCACTCTGGTTTTAAACAAACATAATATCTTATAAAGCCCCTATAAAGTGGTATCCCTTTTATAGTTGCACTTTATTCCCTTTTTATTGTAAAATTAAGTATATTTATATTTGGAATTTTATTTGTCAAGCTCATTCATTATGCAGAACAGAAATCTTCAATGTCAAAAATCTCCAAACATACATCACCAAATAATTAACAAGACAATGTTACTGGTAATATTATGGAAGCAAGCCATCCATCCATCCATCCATCCATCCATTATCTTTACCCGTTTATTCCATTTTGGGTCACGGGGGTCGCTGGTGCCCATGTCCAGCAATCACTGTGCGAGGGGCGGGGTACACCCTGGACGGGTCGCAAGTCCATCACAGGGACACATAGAGACAAACGAGACAAACAACCATTCACTCTCTCACTCACACCTAGGGACAATTTAGAGTTACCAATCAGCCTAACATGCATGTTTTTGGTCTGTGGGAGGAAACCGGAGCACCCGGAGAAAACCCACGCATGCACGGAGAGAACATGTAAACTCCACCCAGAAAGGCCCCTGGACCGGGGTTTGAACCAAGGACCTTCTCGCTGAGAGGCAGCAGCTCTACCAGTTGCGCCACCATGCTGCCCCCGGAAGCAAGCCATATTATATATATTTTTAAACTTATCTTGTCACAAGTAATACATGCAACACACACTGAAAAACATGGTCACTCAAAACTCAAAGTGAGAACTTATCACTGAAAAGCATTGGGGCTAACCATCTACTCCTACTATTAACTATAACTAGATTTTATTTTTGAAAGTCTTTAACTTATAACATGTATAACCATTCTGAGTGATGTACAAAATAAAACCATTATTAAACCATGGTGATTACAAAATCTTGCTTATATCCACTTTCTGAATTTGAATAATAGCTAAAAATAAATAAATAAATGGCAATAGCTCAAAATGTACTTTAGAAATCATTTAAAATGTATGTGATTATATTATTAGGGACTTCCTATTATTATCCACCTAAAAAGGTTCTTGCTCTTTTATTAATTTTAATGCGGCACGAACCCCAATATGTAACCTCACAAATGTGACATCAAAACGTTTGGCTCGCCACCATGATGTGTGCTTTTATGTTTATTGGCATTTCACGTTACCATGGTGACGTAATTTGCAAAGTCACCTTTTTTTCTAATTGAAAAAGCCTGATGGAACGAACAGCTTTGAACTGTGCAGCTAATGAAGAGCTTGGTGTTTTTTTGTGAAACACACAGAAAGTCATCATTTGATGTAACTCTAGAAGTGATTAACATTTGGAGCCATTTTGATTCAAGATGGCTGGCATAGAAAAACACATAGCACAAGTAGTACACAGAAGTACACAACACAAAAGTAACTATAACTCAGTCAATCATTGAGCTATTGAGCTGAAATTTGGTACAGTCCGAGCTGAGAGTGAGTTTTATAATTCTTAATCTAATCAAATATCCAAGATGGCCACCTGAGCAAAAAAGGAAAATTACTATAAATCAGCCATTTTTAGAGATATCGGTGTGGTGGTAGCTGAGAGCAATGCCCCCAAAATACTGAATCCAAAAAAAAAAATCCAAAATGGCCACCAAAGCTAATTTGTAAATGGTTTTAACACTGCTATTTTTACGCATATAAAGCTGAAATTTGGTGAGGTTATAGCTGAGAACGTCCCCAGTCACATATTGAATTTGTTCCCTAAGTGCAGACTGAACTTGGCAAAAGGGCCTTCTCCTACTCCGCTCCTGTTTCCTGGAATATCTTGCAAAAAGATCTGAAGCTCTCGACCTCTCTAAGTGGCTTTAAACATCTGTTAAGTTCCTGGTAAAAACCAATGCAGACATGTTCTCGTTTTTAGTTTTCTACACCGCCTTATAATCTAGCTTTTAGTTCTCTAGTTTTTTTTTCTCGCTACTTTTCCTTTTGACTGTTCTTTTGGTTGCTATTTTATTTTACCTTGTTAAAAAAATATATATACACAACTCTTTTATGATTGTCTATTATTGTCATTGTTATCCACTGTTGTCATCACTAATTGTCAAAATCCAGGTCTCTCTTGTAAAAGAGTCCTCGAGGCTCAATGGGATTAACCTGTTGACAGGCTCTGTCCCTGTCCCTCTTTATATTTTGGTTATTCTGCTCTTTGTGTGATTTCTGTTCCTGTGTATCTGATTCTGTTTTCTGTCACTTCCCACTCAGTTTGCCTCTCTTGTCTCCAGTCTTCAGAATTAATCATTCACACCTGTCTCATCAATCACCTGCCCATGGTGCTCTCATTACTCACTCCCCCTCTGTCTTATAAAAAGCCTTTCTCTCTTCAGCCACATCAGCTTTTTGTTTTGCTGTTCCTGCCTTCGCCTGCCTGCAAGTGGCAATCAAAGATTGTGTTACCTGTATAAATAAAGGTTGAAAAAAATCCAAATCAAAAATCCTAAAAGGCCACCATAGCTTAAAAAAACGACTATAATTCATTATTTTTCCATTTTTTTCCCATATTGAGCAGAAATTTGTTACGGTGAGCTGATCGTGAACCTCAACACATAGTACTGTCAAATCACAATGTTAACATGGCTGCAATGTGGCAGTCTTCATCAAAGTTTCTCCAGGAAATCAGTAACTTTCTAGTTAAATTTAACTTTTCAAGAAAAATTGTAAAAAGCTTCTAAAATATATTGCACAACCTGTTGTGTTGCTCATTTCTCCCTCTGCACATCGTATACAGTCATAGCAGCAAACTGGTTTTCCTTTCTGGAGAACTTTTCGTGTTCCAGGAGGACACTTCTCACTGCAGACTGACACAGGAACCTGCATGAACAAAATTAGCACAATGCTGCGTATACAATTACATTAATGTTATAAGCTCATTACAAATTAAACAAATAAAAAAAAACGATACACATGAAATTTGATTTATTGAAATTTCACCTGTTTTGAATTCTGAGACCAAATGAGAGTTTTATTTTGCAAATTTAGCTTTTTATGTTCAGGTAACGATGCATCGTAAAGACCCACAGAAACAAAGTCCACAATGCCGTTCTCTCTTGGCTGCCAGTTTATAATCTCATATTTTGCAGATGGATCTCCATTTTGATTAAAGTAAACCTCCTCTCCTTTATTTGTCTTAAAGTGAACATTTCGAATATGCTGCAAAATCTTAAACAATAAATATGTGTTTGATTAAACTTAAAACATCTCATGGTTAAGTGTGCTAAATTGCATAAAGTAATATTTTGACATTTTAAAACTTTATATCGATTATTACAAATAATACTCCTACAAATATTACAAAAAATATTACATTTATTATTTATATGTTTCTAATGTAAACTTGGTAACTGAAATAATTTAACTCACAGTGAATGAATCAAGCTGCACACTCATGTTGCATGTTGTATTACAATCCAGAATGTTGTGCAGAGCATGAGCCACTGAATACACTCCTTTGTAAATATTGTTGAAAATGGGCATGAGAGACATGTCAGTGAAGCTGTTTTCCACTCCAGTCAGATCCTCATGTCCAGTACATTCTCTCTGAAACTCCTCTGATTGTGACTGCTTGAACTTACAACTGAATAATGCCTCCCAGAACTCTGTGAACAAGCCATTATTAGAATTCAGTGGCTTCACATCCAGCATGAACTCTCTCAGACCACTGACATGTGCTTTAGGGATGGAAAGTCCTATAGCTCCATCCAGGATGTGATTCTTATTCAATGCTGCAATTTGAGAATCAAAGATCCACGACTCACTGCCGACCCACTGGTATCCTGTCAAATTGTGGTTGGAAAACTCCTTCATAAGTATTTCCATTTCCGTCGGAGTGAGAAAAGCAACAATAACCTTTGAAGTTGAAGTCTTGATAATGTCTATCATATTTTGTAATGTCTTTGTTGAATCAGTCCTAAAGAAAGAAACAGAATATTCTAAACATATCCCCAACTGCTGTGCTGTTTCTGTGAATATTGCCATGCCATTGTTGCCATAATCTTCATTTGAACGAACAGCTCCGACCCAGGTCCAACCAAAGTGTTTAACCAAATGAGCCAGAGCTCTGCTCTGATAGTAGTCACTGGGTATGGTTCTGAGAAAGGATGGGTATTTTGTTTTATCACTGAGACAAGCACATGTGGCAAAATGACTGATCTGCAATTTTTTTAATGAGATGAAATAGTTTTAGAACATAATAAATGACCTTTGCATGCAATAACCTTTATTGTCATTGCACCCAAATACACTGAAATTATATGACCTGTGTTACATTTTTTATAAAAATGATTAAATAAAAAATAAATAAATACAAATACAGGCCTGCTCTTGCATGTAACTAAACTATGTTTTTCAAAAAGTTCACTGTTTTATACTCACAAGTGGGATATGAAAAGGTCCTAGAACAGTAGCTAATGCTGTGCTGGACGAGGACGAGTTTTCTCCCACTATTGCCTGAATTTGTACAGGTCTGGTAAATGTCTCCTTGGAGGTTGAAGATACATTTTCATTACAATTGTTCAATGCAAGTGCAACTTGTATGCTTCTCACACTGGACCTGCAAGTGTCATAAATATTATATCCCAGAGAAATGGCTGGAAGTAGATCTGTGCTGTTGTTAATTTCCTCAATGGCAAAACGCATGGCTTGAGCAAACTGGATGTCTCGGAAACTCAGTCTTGATTCAGACAAACGCAGATGTAACAAAAAGGATTTTTTGAATACCCACATATATGTTAATAACGGCAATTAAATCAGAAATGCACAAAAACAAGGCAAGATTAATGTTGTATTTTTACATTATATTTTACCTGATGCAGTCCAGTGGCAGGGGTTTTTGTGTGTAAGTGTTCTCTCTGTTCTTCCAGCTGCTGTGAAAGTAGAAGATTCCTCCTAACATGATGTCTCCATCTTTAGAAAGCTGAGGGATCTCAGGGTCTCCTCTCTGTTTGCACAATGACTCCTCAGACCGTGAGAAAGACGCCAACAACAACAGCTGCAAAAGTGCACAAACCTGGTTTTGCCACCTCTTTGTGAACATTATATAATCTAAAGAAGCAAGACCAGTTGATGACATTTAATGAACATTAATGCAAATAAATGTATTTAACTGGTATTTATGAATTTAGAATCAGCTTGTACATTATTTAAAGGGAGGGTTGGCCATGTGGTACTACAAGGTGGAGCTAGAAGAGGCTTCAATTATGGTAAGTTACATTGCTGATAGAGCCTGTGTTTTTTTTTTGTTTGTTTTTTTTACCATATTTCATCCTGTTTTTCATTTTTTACGTCAAACATTTAGTTGTAGGTTTTTTTTTGTTTGTTTGTTTGTTTTTGTTTTTTTTTTACAGAGTAGAAAAAAAAGAAACATTTTATTTTATAGCCAGTGACATAAATTGCATTTATGGAGCTATTGCGTGTTAACAGTTTATATCGTCTTCCATTAACATTTTATCAATATAAAATGTATTGGAGCTATTTTTAGGTTGTTGTTTCTCCAGTCCAATTGCTGGTGCAGGTTTGCTCAGTTTGTTATGTTGAGTCAATTAGTAAATAGACAAAGTTTAACAGGGAGTATTGGTTTCTCATAAGGCAAGGTATGTCACTCCCAATCCAAAACCATCAACTTCTTTCTATCTTTTTGAGTGACAAAATGAGTAATTTTCTCAGTTGTGTGTGTGTGGGTGTCAAGTATTGTACTGGGAGTGAGAGTGTACTGTACTTTGTTACTGTACTTAAGTACACATTACAACCACTTTGTCTTTTTTTATTTGTTTTTTTGTTTGTTTGAAAGTAACCAATGGCGAGAAGGAAATTGTTCCACTGAATCACTGCAAAGTGGGCAGGTAATGTTAAACCCACCTTCAAGAAGACCTGGGCCAATGACGTATATTCTAGTATATACATCATTGAGCTGGGCGCACCCCCAGCCCTGCTAACACACCCAAAATGTATTCCACCGTGGAGAGTCAGCCAGAAGATACGCACCACCTATGGCCTTATTGAAAGATTATTGAAAGATTATTGAAAGACTATTCAGTACAGCAGGACAAATTTTCTCTCCCAAAAGAAACAGACTGGACTCAAAAAACATCGAAGACCAACTTCTTTTGCACTTGAACAAGAAATTCTTGCTGCAATAATAAAATGTGTCAGTTCATGATGTTAGGACAGGAGACAAGAGACGTCTCCAAATGGCTCGACGCTCGGGTCCAAGTTTTGAAAATGGTGTCAGGAAGTTAAAATATTCTTCACTATTGACCCATTACAAGGTTGACTGGACAGTATTTTAACTAGAGTTGATGGTAAACTGCAGTTAAAATGATCAGAGTCTGTTCCTTTGCTAGGTGTGTCTAATGCTCCGTTTTTCAGACTGGCAACTTTTACTTAATCTCCTAAGACCCGAACTCTTGCATATGTGGATGCCAGGCCTAGGAGGTTAAATGTGTTTACTGCATTTAAAATGACTTTAAAATGGTTTTGATTTGTGTTAAATAAAAACTTTCAATGATATAATCATTCCTCTTTCTTATTTTGATTAATGGCATTTAACTCTGCATGTCATCCCTGAAATTCTGACGCACAGAATCACAAGTCCAGGTGTGAACTGTGTCACAGAGTAAACACAATAAAAACATGTATTATCTGCAGCATTGTTCATTAAAATGGCACAGCACTAATGTATTAAAGAAAATATACATACGGTAGGCACACAATGATACTGTAGACTATTGCATTAGGTAATACATTCAGCAAGTACTTTTACTTTTAATACTTTAAGTATTTTTAAAGCAAGTACTTACTTACTTTTCCTTAAGTAAAAATGTTAATGTGGTGCTTCTACTTTTACTAGAGTACATTTTTGTCTGTTTATTTGTACTTTTACTTAAGTACAGCATTTAAGTACTTTCTCCACCTCTGTGTATTGGACAACTCCTAACGACATGCATGATAAAGTGGAGGCTGTAAGTAGATGCTTCAATGACAGGCTTCTGAATCTACTATTCAGGACAGAGTGTTACATATATAAATTATATACTTATTATGTATACTGAACAAAAATATAAAGGCAAAACTTGTTTTTGCTCCCATTTTTCATGAGCTAAGATCTTTTCAAAGATCTAAGACTTTTTCTTTGGACACAAAAGGCCTTTTTTCTCTCAAGTATTATTCACTGATTTGCGTAAATCTGTGTTAGTGAGCTCTTCTCCTTTGCAAAGATAATCCATCCACCTCACAAGTGTGGCATATCAAGATGCTGATTAGACAGTATGATTATTGCGCAAGTGTGTTTCAGGCTGGCCACAATAAAAGGCCACTTTAAAATGTGTAGCTTTATCACACAGCACAATGCCACAGATGGAAGTTTTGAGGGGCCTTGCAATTGGTATGTTGACTGCAGAAATGTCCACCAGAGATGTTGCCCGTGAAGTGAATATTAATTTCTCCACATCAGCTGCCTCCAAAGGTATTTCAGAGAATTTAGTAGTATATCCATCTGACCTCACAACCACAATCCACTTGTAACCACATCAGCCTAGGACCACCACATCCAGCATCTTCACTTTCAGGATCAACTGAGACCAGCCACCCAGACAGCTGCTGCAACAGTCAGTTTGCATAGTCAAAGCATTTATGTGCAAACTGTCAGGAACCAACTCAGAGAAATTCATCTGCATGCTTGTCATCCTCATGGGGATCTCCACCGTACTGCAGTTTGTTATTGTAACCAGTTTGAGTGGGCAAATTCTCACATGCATGCTCACATGATGTGCATGCTCACAAATGTCACTCTGTGCCCTTGATCAATGCCCTTAAACACCCCAGTTGCTTGCTGGGCAACTTGGATGGCAGCCCTCTACTCCACACAGAGTTGCGGTAGCTCAGTCATCTGAGGTTGTGACATGAAATGCATCCAGTGTAATAGTAGTCCTTTATGCAATGCTTGCTATATTTCACTTATTTTTCACCTTATTTTAATCTATGTAATGTTGCTGCTATAACATAAATGTCCCCTGCTGGGTATCAAACATGTGTAATCAAGACTTGACTTAACTAATCTAATGCCTTGGCACTGAACGGTGTAAAAAAAGATTTCCAGTTTTGTGTTGTCACTTTGGGGCAGCAAGGTGGCACAACTGGTAGAGCTGCTGCCTCTCAGAAAGCAGGTCCCTGGCTCAAATCCCGGTCCAGAAGCCTCTTTGCATGTTCTCTCCGTGCATGCGTGGGTTTTCTCCGGGTACTCCGGTTTCCTCCCACAGACCAAAAACATGCATGTTAGACTGATTGGTAACTCTAAATTGTCCCTAGGTGTGAGTGAGAGAGTGAATGGTTGTTTGTCTCGTTTGTCTCTATGTGTCCCTGTGATGGACTTGCAACCTGTCCAGGGTGTACCCCGCTCCTCAAACAGTGATTGCTGGACATGGGCACCGGTGACCCCCGTGACCCAAAATGGAAGAAGTGGGTAAAAGATAATGGATGGATGGGTTGTCACTTTGTCAGTTAAACTTTAAACTGCTCCAAAATCAATAGACTGTAGAGAAAGATTGTCCAGATTAATCCAGAGGGAACCTTGTTATAACAGTTGAGGAATAGATATAAACTTAGATTCATGTTGGTGTATTCTCAATCATCCAGGACATGGTGAATTCCATGTATCCATCCATCCATCCATCCATTTATGCATACATCCAGCCTTGTGAAAAGCATACAGTCTCTGAGTACCACACAGTGTTAATTTCAGAACATTTTAATTTAACCATTATTTATACAGGTAGTCTCATTGAGTCATGACAAGGACTCTTGTATTTTTCAAATGACATTTGCATTTAAAAGAAGGCACATTTCTTGAAATGTGTGTTTTCTGCTACAAACACCAAAAGGCAGTTTTTTTTTTCTAAATTATAAATAAACCAAGATTTAATTGTCAAAAGTTATAACAGCATTTGGGATTATTTTGTAGTACATTGCTCTTTCATTTCAGAATGATTTTAGTTACCTCTTACCCATCATGTTCTTTTTTGTATTTTTTTCTGGTTTATTTAAAATGATATAACATTTTGGAATGAAGATACAAATCAGCAGTCCAAAACTAGAAGCAAGAATGGCAAATATTTCTACAGCAACACTAAATTTTCCGGGAGAGCTGACGTATGCTGGGATAAAAGTGATCCAGACTGCACAGAATATCAGCATGCTGAAGGTGATAAATTTGGCTTCATTAAAATTATCAGGTAGTTTCCGAGCCAGAAAAGCAAACACAAAGCACAAAACAGCAAGAAGTCCAATGTACCCAAGCACAGACCAGAAGCCTACAGCTGAGCCCAGGGCACACTCCAAGATGATTTTTTCTTTTAATGTTTTAAAGTTCTTGGATGGGAAAGGAGGAGAAATTGTTATCCAGAGAACACATATCACAACTTGTATAAAGGTTAAACCCAGAACACTGAGTCTCTGCTGTGTCGGCCCATACAGTTTCATCACATTATTGCCTGGAAGTGTAGCTTTAAACGCCATCAAAACCACCATTGTTTTCCCCAAAACACAGGAGATACAGAGGACAAATGCGATGCCAAAAGCTGTGTGACGGAGCATACAGGACCACTCAGAGGGACGTCCAATGAAGGTCAGGGAGCAGAGAAAACACAGAGTCAAGGAGAAAAGCAGCAAAAAGCTCAACTCAGAGTTGTTTGCTCTGACAAGAGGAGTTTTCCTGTATCTGAAGAAAATGACAGCTACAGCAGCAGTCAGACATGTTCCCAATAAAGAGGCTGTGGTGAGAAGTATTCCCATACCTTCTTCATATGATAGAAACTCTGCCTCTTTTGTTACACAGGCATCTCTTCTCTCATTTGACCAGGATTCAGAGGGACATTTCTCACAGGTGACAGAATCTGTGAATTCATAATAAAGTTTAGGTTGGTGTCTTTCTACTTTTTGTTAAGTATTTTAACTCTAAAATCAATAGAAGACATATAGTGTCTTTACTTATCAAATTATATTGTTCTGGTACATATAATTGAGTGAGATGAAGCAAATGGCATATTTTTGCAGTTTATTAGTGCATATATATATATATATATATATATATATATATATATATATATATATATATATATACACATACATATATACACATACATATATACACACACATATATACACATACATATATACACACACATATATGTGTATATATGGATGGATGGATAATGTAAGGAAGCAGAAAATGCAACTCCTAATAAAAAAATCTAAACACCAAAGACGACACGAACCAGGCACCATACTGCTGGGAGGTAACACAACTAAGTTTCTGTTTTGCTGCAAGAAATGAATACATAGAAAACAAAAATATTCAATAACTCATTATAAGTAAACTCACGTTGGACAGTGCTGTATAATGTAATACTGGACATTGGGTATAGTTTCACCTTGAATGGCCTATCAGCACACCTTGAGATGAGCTGGAATGTGTGCTGAAACTTTTGTAAAGCTGCTTAATCTATGATATGACAAGTAGCTCAGGTCTTCCATATACTAGGAAATTATCTGAGAGAGTTTTTATGATATAAAATTCTAATAAAGCCTTATCTTAAATACAGCTATTTTTCCTTGAGCTCTAAATCAAGTGGCAACTTACATTTCTTTAAAATAAGCAAAAAAAAAAATAAAAAAACTGTGGGAAAACTCACAACCACAGCAAAAGTTTATTTTTGAAAAGCCACATGATACATAGAATTTCTTTAATTTAGTCATGATAAAAATTGGTTTTAAAACAGGATGGTCCTTTAAAAAATTTTACAAATTGACTGTGCATGTTTGTCAATTTCAGTAACAACAAACAATTGTTAAACAATGTCAAACAATAAGATAACAAGGTCCTGCCAATTAAAAATGTGAAGTCTAATATAAGTTTTAAATAAATGTGTTTCTTAAAAAAACTAAATTTAAATGTGTTTTTCTTTAAAGCTTTTTTTTTATTTTCTTATAATATTTTAAAACCTTAACATATTTTTTTTATTATTATTTTTTTTTTTATCCTGTATTTCATTTGGTTGTCAATTGCATGCTAATAATGCTAAAGATAATAAACAAACAAACAAACAAAAATATCTAACCAGTGGATTGTTGAAAACATACTTTAAATGTAGCAGAGAAAAAGAGTGATAATTTCACTGTTTTGTTTAAAAAAAAAACTTTAATGTTTGTATTTAAAAAAAATATAACCTGTTATGTTGCTCATTTCTCCCTCTGCACATCTTATACAGTCATAGCAGCAAACAGGTTTTCCTTTCTGGAGAACTTTACATGTTCCTGGAGGACACTTCTCACTACAAACTGAAACAGGAACCTGTAAGAACAAAAGCAATATACTGTGTGTATGTGTGTATATATACCACAAACCAAAAACATGCATGTTAGACTGACTGGTAACTCTAAATTGACCCTAGTTGTGAATGAGAGAGTGAATAGAACACAATATGAGTGCTAACAAATTGCAGAGCTTTATTTAAAACTTTGTCAAGTCTCAAAGTCAATCCTGCAACCCTGAAAATTATCTGATAAACTGAAAAATGGATTTTATGTAAACTATTAAAAGCAATTAATGGGGATATGGGATATCTACAACTGAGAACCTCTTTAGAGGGCTGAAATTAGAATAGTTCATAAGAGGCTCTGTCCCAGTCAAGTTTACAGACACTGAGATAAATGTTGGTATAATGATCTGAAAGGCTAAGACCATGTAATTTGTTAAATCAATCGTATCCTTGTTCAAAGGTCAGAAATGAAAGGTGAAAATCAATGGAATTTCAAGGCAGTGTCATAAAATATATTTTACCTGGTATGAATTCTGAGTCCAAACGAAAGTGCTATTTTGCAGATTCAGCTGTTTGTCTGCAGGTAATGATACATCATAAAGACCCACAGAGACAAAGTCCACAACATCATTATCTCTTGGCTGCCAGTTTATAATCTCATATTTTGCTTCTGGATCTCCATTTTGATTAAAGTAAACTTCCTCTCCTTCTTTTGTCTTGAATAGAATATTTCGAATGTGCTGTAAAATCTAAGATAATGGATAATAATTATTTAAGGGGTTTATAAACATTTTGGGGTTCA